CAACAATCCATCATTATTGGTATCTTCTGACGAGGATATCCTTTTCCCACGGCACTGACCATATCGTAATAAGTTCTTTCTGTTTAATATACCGTGAAGAAGATTAGGTTTGGTTATTACCCAGATATTGTCAATAGGATTATTTTTTGGTAAAGGTGTAGAAGAGGGTGACCACCAAAAGGAATTGTCCTAATCGGTTGAAAAACTTTCTACACACTAATATAATATTAAACACAAAAATGGAAATGACAATGAATGGAACCTAATAGAACCTGACCTAACATACCCAACCTATGGGTTTGTTAGGTCAGGTTCTATTAGGTTCCATTCATTGTCATTTCCATTTAAACTTACGTGTTGAAAGTCTCAAGAGAAACAGGTTAGGTGTTGACTCTATGATGGTGATAGCTACAGTGCCAGTGCCCTGCCCGGCGTCACATGCCCAGCCCTGGCTGGCCGCCTTTGCTGCGTCAGGCGTCTATACACAAACAAGCTCCCCTTACTACCACCCAACACCCAACCACCTCTGGGTCTCTCCATCTCCACCATCTCAATAATCTATATACTGTATACTCATTACTGTTTGCGGTATCAGTGATAGTTAATATTTCAGATGTAAGCAAACATATTAATCATACCAATGTGTTTCAGATGCAGTGGCTCATTATGCAAGATGGTGGACAACACCATCCTGATGATTATAATGGGGAGAAGAACTCTGTGGGGCTGGATATTGGACAAGAGTGCAGGTCAGGAATGATGGTTTACGCTTATACAGTATTAGTGAAAACTGCAAACCCTATGGTAATATGTGAAATAGACAAACGAGGCCCTACTCCACCACAGTTAATAAATTCAACACTGTTACTATATCAAAACTCTGAAAGTTACTTATGCTTGCAATCTGATAATTATAAGGGAGTAGTCTATGTGCTGGTTCAATAGCATACCCTGGTAAAAGCAAATAACAAAGGTATTATAATAGATTTAAACCGTGTTACTAACTGTTACTGGACAACCGATGCAGGGCCGGATTCAGGAGTGGGCAAAGTGGGCAGCTGCCCAGGGCCTCCACAATCTGGGGGCCTCCACATATGAAAATATTTTATTTATTTGTTTATTCATTTGGATTATTTTTATTTTAATTCTTTAAAATTCATGTTTATCTATTCCTTCTCAGTATTCTAATTTCCTCACTATAATTGCATATGGCTTCAAAATTCTCCAAAGAAGTGTTCAAATTTCAACATTTTCCTGGGGACTTACAGTGCCCCCCGGAACTCCCAGATGTTTAGGCTCGCTTCATTCGCCACCCCACCCTCTTGGGTAGTCATAATGAGGGGGTCCTCCACAAAGAGGCTGCCCATGGGCCTCCACAGGTCTAAATCCGGCACTGAGTATAACACACTAACACCAAAATCACACCTCAGAAACCCATAATTGGCGAGTAATTAGCATTGAAAAATGTCATTAAAAATTCCAAGCCTCATTACAACCACTAATAACCCTGCAATTGAATCGTAAACCATATATTCGAAAGCAGCATGCTCTGGAGTACCTATAATGCGAATTTCGACGAAATGTAATTTTTGGCCCAAATCGCCAAAATATTAAGCCTTACAAATTTTTCGACCAAGATATACTTTTCTCTCAGAACTGAAATTTAAGAGGTTTAACTAATTAAGTACTTACAGTATAACACCAAAATCACACCTCAGAAACCCATAATTGGCGAGTAATTAGCATTGCAAAATATCATTAAATTTTCCAAGCCTCATTACAACCACTAATTACCCAGCAAGCGAATCGTAAACCATATATTCGAAAGCAACATGCTCTGGAGTACCTATAATGCGAATTTCAACGAAATCTAATTTTTGGCCAAAATCGCCAAAATATTAAGTCTAATGCCTTACAAATTTTTTGACCAAAATATACTTTTCTCTCAGAACTGAAATTTAAGAGGTTTAACTAATTAAGTACTTACAGTATAACCAGGTCCGGATTCAGGAGTGGGCAAAGTGGGCAGCTGCCCAGAGGCCTCCACAATCTGGGGGCCTCCACATATTACAATATTTTATTTATTTGTTTATTCATTTGGATTATTTTTATTTTCATTCTTTAAAATTCATGTTTATCTATTCCATCTCAGTATTCTAATTTCCTCACTATAATTGCATATGGCTTCAAAATTCTCCAAAGAAGTGTTCAAATTTCAATATTTTCCCCGGGGGCTTACAGTGCCCCCCGGAACTCTCAGATGTTTAGGCTCGCTTTATTCGCCACCCCACCCTCTTGGGTAGTTATAATGAGGGGGGGCCTCCACAAAGAGGCTGCCCATGGGCCTCCACACGTCTAAATCCTGCACTGAACCGATTGTGTTGAGTACCACCAAAGTACTATATGTTATATCTCCAAGTTTCATTTATACTGGACCACCATAAAATGTGAAGGCCAAAAATATATCCCAACTAAATTGTACAGTACCTATATATAAGCTCTGGTGACACTATTCAGTCAGGTGTAGGTCGTCTAAAATCCTGCTCGGAAACTATATTAAAATATTTATGATCTTGGCTTCTGACGAAGGAACATACACTATATTATACCTTGAGGGTCTTGACGGTGAGTAGTTCTGCTGTATGATATATGTTTACCTTTGAGGGTCTTAGCTCTGCGCTTTTAAAGATCTGTGGAAATTTAACCAACCAACACTTGACTAAATTGTTGTAAATTAGGTTCAGTAGTTTTGGTTTTGTGGGTATATTTTGTCTGTTTACAAGAACTGCTTGATACCACAGACCTCATCAAGGAAAAGGCCATGATGATGACTTTACCAATTATCAAATACTGTGATTTTTTTTACTTTCACTTTCTTATCAGTATCAACGTCATGTGAATCACCAGACAACAGAGAGCAGCAGTGACCCTTGTACTGCTGTAACAATCACCACTCAGCGTCATGAAGAGACCCAACAAGAACCTTCTGCACGCTGCAGTAGGGTCTTCAGTGGTACTGGTCTTGTATTTAAATGTAAGTATAGTATAATACCTTCCTAAAACAAATTGTTCTTGCCAAAAAGAAATGAAAAAGTAATGAATGCAAATTGAGTACAGTACCGTACAGTACCTGTATATACTTGAGGGTATATTCTAACTGCTTTGATAGATGTGTTATGTTATGGTATTCCCCTTCTTGGATATTAGATCATAAAAATGAAGTGTTTAGCTTATGTTATCTTTAATTATGTATATTTAATACTGTATAAGAATCCTAGAGTTTAATTTTAAGTAATTTAAGTTATAATTTCACCACTTATCAGCGTGCAGTAATATCTCCGTTAACCGGAATCCCTCAAACCTGGAACTCTGCGATAGCCGGAATTTAAATTTTCGTGGGAACGATTTTTTGAGGGGCACATTTTCTGGAAAATTGCAAGAAAATTTTCCCGGTACTCGGAAAATTCCGGGAAAGGGGAAGTTTTTCCGGGTTTGAAAGATGATGTAATGCACAATTTCTTGAACTCCCAAGAATATCTTTACGTTACTCAGAAAATTCCTGGGATGAGGAATTTTTTTTCCATCCTTGAGAGTCATCTCGTTCCCAGAAGTGTTCTGCACCAATTGTTCCGGCTAATGAAGACATCACTTTACTAGTCATTCAGGCAGTTGGTCCGTTCTTTGTTAGTACTGTACTCTGTTATGACATTGTCCAGTGTTAGTACTGGAGAAAACCTGTCATTTTGGTAGTGTCATACTGGATAACACGCTTCTCACATATGTGGGTGGGAGGGTGGACTGGGTGAGAGAGTTAGGTGGGTGGGAGGTATTGTTGGGTGGGAGGATAGGTGTATGGGTGGGAGGGAAGGTGTCTGCATGGAAGTGAGTGTGTGTGGATGGGAGGTCCTCCCATCCACACACCCTAAGGGTCTTTTTAAATCTTTCATATTGTGTGGCTGTTTGAGGTGAACGGCTGGTTGGCTCAGGTGGAATGTTGGCTGTCTCTGGTGAATGGCTGGTTGTGGCGAACGTCTGGCAGGACAAGCACCACACCAAACAGGTAGAGTACTTGTGACAATATGTAATGTGTATATATAAGGAATTCATGAACATTGTCTAAAACTTTTTGTATTCCAGATTTGTGTGGCCGACTGTGGACCCACAACAAGGTGCTTCCTGGAGGTGGTAAAGGTAAAACTTATTTTTGTAATAATAACAGCACCATAATTAAAAGTAAATACACAGTAGTAACTCCGCCTTGTTCAACTGAACATGCCGGTCCCCAGCCCGGATAAAGGAGGAGGGCTACTGCAGTGTTGCATGATCACCACTTCATAAACTCTTCGTTTTCAGACCAATTTATAATACAAGGTACAGTAACTTGTAATTTACCAAGACCAGCAATGTAGTATTTTAGCTTTTTATAGATGGATAGTATCGAAAAATTAGATATTTACATATACACTCACTTCCAATTAATGGTATCTTCATGTTTTGAGACCATATAGTTCACAGTATATTAAGTTTTGTAGACAGGAAATATTTAAAAGTAAAAGGAAATGTATATAGTTTTTTATTTTTATTATACACTACATATGTCAGTTTGCAATAATAGTCCAGAAGTTTGATACAGTAAGATTACAAAAGAACTTGTCTAATTGCCTTATTGTTCCTTGGGTTATACCCGTGCTGTCTAGGTACTTAATAGTTTACTAGACATTATCTGGTAGTCCTATGTTATCAATTAAAACCATTATCTGGTACTAGTGCAAGAGGAAATCAGAACTTGCAATGGTTGGGAACGTCACGCTAGATAACAATTTTCTCACAGAACGAGAAGCACATTACCACTATGCTAACATTAATTCTTCTCTGCAGATACATTGTGATGGAGGCATCATCACGATTTCACATTATCTATCAAGCATTTCCTAACGCAACGTTTATAATGGACTCCTTAAGGTTAGTTATTACACTAGACCTTAATGATTTTGTCTATCTTATGTCAGGTTTTGGTCATACACAAGATTAAGTTTGATCTAATAATGGAAGTCTTGTACTTTGTGAATAATTTTGACGGTACTATACAGTTCAGTATAGGGGCATTTCTAATTTTATCCAAGTGACCAAGTCTGTTTAATATTCAATACTTCCACCACTTGTCAATTTACTAGCCTTTTGGGTAGGTAGGGGTGTGATATTTGCTAGGTTTACACCTTCTCACATCTGTCCCAGGCTGAAGTTTGGGCCCCAGAACAGTTTTGCAAGATCTACCAACACCCACTGTACTTTAGGTCAAATATCAAATGACTTTATTTCAAAATGTTACTTTAAATAAGACCATTGGATTTCAGTCTTTAGGTTTTTATACAACTAAGTTAATTTACATTGTGTGTTGTACATAAATTTATAATTTTTATTATAATTTTACAAGGATTACTTTTACTAAATTTTAGGCAAAACTGACTTCCATTCAACACTTGGTGTGCAGTGTCTAGATTGTCAACATTCCGTCAACACTTGGTGTGCAGTGTCCAGATTGTCAACATTCCGTAAGTAAAATCCCTACTGTACTTTACTCTCATGTGCTATGTATTCATTTCTTTCAAAATAATAGATGTACTGTATACCAAATCAAAAACGTATTTTTACCGACATGGCCGATGAATTTCTAAATGAACACCGACACCTGTTGTTTATGAGGTTGCCAAAATCCTTCGTCCGAGGTGTCATTGTCTAACACCATCATAAAGATGCATTTTTGATGATGTACACCTTGTAATAACTACACTGAAAGGAGATATTACAATGCCATCTGTAGGTACAGTCCTGTGGTCATCTTTTTAGTTTTGATTTTGCATACCCAATATGTCACTACATGGGTATTAGTTTGTAACAGTTCTACATAGGCTGGCACTTGGATGTCAATTAGTGATGAGTATACTGTACATAGGCTATCATGTTGGCATCACAGGATCCATATACTTTACACCTCACCTTCAGGTTTCAAGTTCAGTTTACAAGATCATTATTATTCGACTTTTCCAAAACTGGAGTATAAACGAGGTAAAATTTATTCAATGTTTATTTGATTATGAACATAATGTATATTGAGAGCCAACATTATATTCTCTTTCTCGATACAAGTGCCAACCATTACACAATATATCTACCTTTTTTTAATCTGTGTGGCTTGACTCGAGGCTTACTTATACGTTCTTAAATATTACTTTACTGTACTTTTAAATATTTTCTCAATTCTTAAGTGCATAAATAAAATTGTTCTTAATAAGGTGGTAGTCATGAAGGTGTGGGATGGTTGACAGACAGAACAGTCACTGAGGTCATATTGCCGGTACATCGATCTTGTACACCAACCTCCTGTAATAAGATTTTGACTTAGTTCATTCTCAGTTAACATTAAAGTATCATTACCAATACACAACATTTATCTCCAAATTTCTTGCATTCTATACTTGCATCCTTGCATATATCCATACACTCAAGCGCCCTCCTATAACACCGTACACGTGAGCACCAGCCTTCCTGCTCTCTTATGGCTGCAGCAGTCTTCTCACAGGCATCATCCACAACATTCCTTCACAGTAGTACATGCCATTTTACTGGAGATAAATTTATAACATTCACTATTAACCATTGTATGGGCACACCGCCCGTGCACAAGCGCCCTCCATTGCCCAGCGTCTGGCGCCCTCCACTGCCCAACGTCACAGGCGTCCTCCACTGTCCAATGTTCCTTCTTCCTAATCCTTCTCGTAAAGCAAGTCACTCCTTTTCATTCTTCCATAGTGGTTTTTAGGATAACCATACGAAGACATAGGTAACTTAACTAGGGAGGCAAAATTAACATGTGTTACATCTTGCTCAAGGTGGAGTGTCACTTCCTCTATGCTGGCCTTCAAGTGCCATCATCTGTCACCTGCAACATATTTCGAGTTGTTACTTATGTAGAATGAAGGTTAAGCATACAATATCCTTATACCACTAGACCACATGTACTTAAACCGACTCCAACTGTACACAAGTTATCAAATTTTAGTTTACCAAAGTCTCAATTTTATCTAACTGGAAAATTATCTTTCTGTATTCATGATCAGTAAATGTAAGTGGCTCATAAAATAGTTTGAATTAATGTTCTTTAAATACATTAGATAAATGTTTTTGTATAATAGATAGCTTAATACGGATTTGGTTCAGTTTAAGTTAGTTATGTTTAATCTAAGTTAGGATGGTTAGGTTAGTAAAGTCAGTTGAAACCCGCCCACAACAACTTGCTCTATTTACTACTATACTACTAATTTTCTCTAATAACCAATAGGCATGTAGTCCTGTATATTTATACTGTCACTACAACTAATATTAATTTACTCTAATACTGTATCAGTCTAGTGTCAGCCCACACAGTGCTCCCCCACTACCCAGTGTAGGAGCACAGTGTTGAGTGGTTTATGGGATGACCATAATAGCTAAGATATACAAGTAACTTAACTGATGAGGCTGAAGTAACATGCTGGGTGTTAAATCTTGCTCAAGGTTCTGTCACTTCTCCATTGGCCTTCACGTACATCAGCTGTCACCTGCAACATGATTAAAGTTGTAATTTACGTAGAATGAATATTAAACTTGCAACTTCCATTCACCACAAGTACTTAAACTGTCCCCAACTGTTTACATAAATCATTACCTCCACATTAGTTTACTCAAATTACTTTAATAGCAATACAGTACTGCTACACTATACTGTACTACACGCTCTCTACACTGCTTCATGCACTATACACAAGGTTTACTACAGCTCACTTACTAGACCTTCCCTCCCTCATGCCCCCCAAGTGTCCCCCTCGACAGCTTGGTTACACTTGGCTTGAATGACAAACTTCACCACAACCACTTGCCCACCTTGTGTACAATTCCTTCATTTGGGAACACACAACTCTCTCCCATAAACCACCACAGTTCCCCCCTCCCCAACCAGTATACAACACCCCGACACCCTCCTCATAAACGTTAAATGACCCCACAGAAGCCACACCCACCCACACCTCACAAAACATTGAACGACACCACAAGAAGACACACCCACCCACAACCCCACAGAACATTAAATGACACCATAGCAGGCTACACCCACCAGACCTTCACACAAAACGTAAAAATTTACCTCAAGGAATACTGTTGTGTAGTGTGAGAAGCTTCACTCTCACACTCGTGGTCTGTTGTCTCCACATACTGCACCACACCAATAACAGTGTGTTTTGTACTGTAATTGGCTCTGTAGTCATTCCTTGATCTGAAAAGAAAAAGATTCACCAGCACATTGTAATACAGTACTCCTCTTTATCGACGGGGTTACGTTTGTAGACGTAGGGCATATAAAGAAAACCGTCGATACCGTGATGGCGTAATTTTTCTAACTATTATTAGCATATGTTGAATAAATGTACCTTACATTAATGCGCTTCCTTTACACATAACCTTAAATAATATATAAATAATAATATAATAAGTGGACAAAAATTAGCAAACTTATTTATTTCATTTATTGAAGTGAACATCGGTCCTTACAGTAAACAATACAGTGTACAGTATATACAAGGTGATGATTGAGGCTTATTAAAAGCCTGACCAGTCAGATGACTGTTGCCCACGCTGCTTGGCTGATGTCTGTGTTCAGGCATGGCAGCGGGTAGACGCTAGTCACGCTCATTAGTGCGCTTAGCGTAGCGAAAGTACAAACAAGGCCTGCAGAGTTCAAATAAGCCAAAATAAAATCCGTCTAAATAATCCGTCAATAATCGAAACCGCCGATAAAAAAATCCACGATAAAGAGGGAGTACTGTACTTATTGACTGCGGTTAAATTTATCTTCAGGTGAAATAAGCTGGGGGATGAATCTTCAGGTGAGCCAAACATTTTAACATTTCCCAGAGGTTAATTACATGGTTGCTGCCTTATTTACCAATACATTTCAATTGTTTCTTTACATACATCTTAATATTTATTTTAGGAACCCGGTATTTTTTTTTTACAAGTAGACAACCAACGAACCTCTAGATTAGATAACGTTACGTTGTTAGGTTAGTTTTGGTGCTTTTTGGTTGAGCAATGTGTTTTTCCGATGGTAAATGCCATGGTTGTCCACTTTTAAAAATTTACCAGGAACCTTAATGTTACTGAATTTAATATACAGTCGGCCCTTAACATACGCGGGGGTTTGGTAACAGAGATACCCGTGAATGTTAAAAATCCGTGTACTTTTGCCCCCCCCCCTAAAAAAAAAAAAAAAAACCCTGGCCCCCCATGTCCTTATTTACCGTATATACCTGTGTGTAGTTCGAGTTTTTAAGACCAAATTATTTTGCAAAAAATTGGGGGTCGACCTCTAAAAGGGTAATAGTTTCGTTAGGTTGAAAAATATTTACCAGTAACTACCAGTAAACAATGGAAACGATGCACCAACGCACCACCAGCTGTGAGTGTCGGTACAGTCGCCAGGGCAGATCTCTTGCGTCATCATAGCTAGCCCAAAGTAGCCAAATGCATGGTATGGTACTGTACATAAATTTTTGTTCATTACATTTGAAACATCAATCTTTGTTAATTAAATTTGATACAAAAGAAAACTACGATACCGTATTTTCATTAAAATATTACATCACAAGAATATTTTACCTTAACTGTGACTGAATGAATATATTCTCAGAAATAAATATGGAAATGTAATATTTTGGCTGAAATGACGTACATATTACTGTACAGTGGAAAGTGGGATAAAATTATGAAAACGATGACTTTCGCTTTCTTTCGTTGTTCAATAGATTTTACCGTAATCGCTTTTCGAATGGTTTTCAGTTAAAAAACTGTTGTACTGTACTGTATTACAATAATATTCTATCCTATCATTAGCCTTATAATCCCACAACTGAAAACCATTCGAAAAGCGATTACGGCAACATCTTTTGAATGAAAGAAAGAAAAAGAGTCATTGCTTGCGTCACAATTTTATCCCACTTTCCACTGTAATACGTACATCATTTCAGCAAAAATATTACATTTCTATGTTCTCAGAAATAAATGGTAGTTTTGTTGAAACGTAATGTACAATATTTAATATTAAAATTCAAAAATAGCTATAAAAACAATAAATACACCCGTAATGTACTGGCTGGCATCTCCACTCGTCCCTGCTCCTGCGTCCAAGGTCACCTCACCACTACTCCCAACTCGCTCCCTCCCCTCCCTCCGCACCGTCACTACTGCGGACAACAAACACAAATGCTTTGTGAATAACTGCACCTCCACTTCCTATGTACAGTACTTGTACTGAACTGTACTGTGCTGTGCATTTTTACAAACAATAAACATGGCAAGAAAAGCTATTAAAAAAAAGAGATAAGAATTTCACTTTACTGTACCGTACCTCTCCTCGGCGACAGGGCGGGGATCATCGGGCTCATGGTCACTCAATTCCATAACAGGTGGTGAAGTGGGGGCGACTGTGGATTCAGCTGCTTCCTCACTGTCGCCAGTGATTGATGGTGTTAAATCTCTCCT